ATATATATTGCAGGTTTGCTGAGAGTGTTTGACCATTGACGTATGTAGGGATGTGGCGGGAATGGTAACTGGAATGCAGTCTGAAGGCATATGACATGCTTAAAGCCGAGTTGCAATAGGGGTATGTATTCATTCGCATACATATGCACGTGTACATATTCTAATATGGAAACATGTGTGGATTCGTGAACAATAAAACATGCATGTGCACACATGAAACTTTACTATCACACCTGTAGTCACATCCATACACGCATTGATACGTAACGATGTAACAGGCAACGTTTATGAACGAGAAAGGACGCACACACGCGTGCATGCATACACACATACGTACATATATAATCAAACGCTGTTTGTACTACACATGATACATGCATATACACATACGTACATATATATTCAAATGCTGTTTGTACTACACATGGTACACGCATACACCCATACGTACATATATAATCAAACGCTGTTTGTACTACACATTGTACATGTATACACACACACGTACATATATAATCAAACGCTGTTTGTACTACACATGGTGCATACATACACACATACGTACATATATAATCAAACGCTGTTTGTATTACACATGGTGCATGCGTACACACATACGTAAATATATAATCAAACTTTGTTTGTACTACACATGGTACATGCATACACACATTCGTACATATATAATCAAACGCTGTTTATACTACACATGGTACATGCATACACACATACGCACATATATAATCAAACGCTGTTTGTACTATAGATGATGTGGGGCGCGCTTACCTTGATCCTATTAGGATCGGAGACTTCCTTCACGAGACTAGTCAGTTGAGATTCCCCCAATTCTTTGCCTGCACATTGAAGCCAAATGATTCAATTTCAGGAATCATACACACCCATTTTGTGTATCTAAATCGGAGACGCTTGATAGGCTTTAAATTCACAACAACCCCACTACATCCCTATGATAAAAAAAATAAGCGGAGATAGTTTGTAGAATTTTATCTTAGATTACTTGGCGGAAACACACCCGAAACTGACCAGACGTCTGCGAATTCAGCATTCAACCTTCAGGCGTACTCTACCATGTAATTAATATGAACGCACCTATACGTATACGTGCATGTATGCTTGTAATTGAACATATAGCAATGTATAGATGATGCACAGTCATCTCAATCATGTCACACATAGACCCACAGACCCACAGACACACAAACAAGTAGATGTATACATATACATATACATATACATATACATATATACATACATAC